TTTCATCGAATCTGCTCCAACTAAAGTGGGAGAGACAGACACCCGCCAGCCACCTTATGCAACTAGTGCATGTCAGTCGGTGGAACCGGTCTCACGTAAGCGTACGTGTAAGGTTGGTCTGGGCCGCTTCATCCCACAATACCGTTGAGCAAGAAAAGACTAGTAGAGGCAAGTAAGATGACAAAATCCATGCCCACAACAAAATTGTGTTCTACTCGTGCAAAGAGAACTACGCATAGACCTAGCTCTGATACCACTGTTGGGGAACGTTGCAGAAAATTAAAAATTTTCCTACGGTTTCACCAAGATCCATCTATGAGTTCATCTAAGCAACGAGTCGAGGGAGTGAGTTTGCATCTACATACCACTTGTAGATCGCGTGCGGAAGCTTGCAAGGTGATGATGGAGTCGTACTCGACGTGATTCGAATCACAGATGACCAAGTGCTGAACGGACAGCACCTCCGCGTTCAACACACGTACGGGACGGGAGACGTCTCCTCCTTCTTGATCCAGCAAGGGGGAAGGAGAGGTTGAGGAAGACAGCTCCACCGGCAGCACGACGGCGTGGTGATGGTGGAGAGGCAGTACTCCGACAGGGCTTCGCCAAGCACACAACGGAGGAGGAGAGGTGTTGGGGAGGGGAGGGCTGCGCCTTGGAGGGTGGTGCGGCTGCCCTCCCCTCACCCCTCTATTTATAGGGAGAAGGGAGAAGGGGGCCGGCCCCTCTAGAACCCATCTAGAGGGGGGCGGCGGCCAAGGGGAGAGGGGGAGAGGGTGGCTTGCCCCCCAAGCCAAGGGGGCGCCCCCTCTAGGGTTCCCCCCCTCAACCCTAGGCGCAAGGGCCCAAGGGAGGGGGTGCGCCCAGCCCAGCAGGGGCTAGCTCCCTGCCCCACGCAGCCCATGTGGCCCCCCGGGAGGGGTGGCCCCTCCCGGTGGACCCCCGGAACACTTCCGGTGGCCCCGGTACACTACCGGTATGACCCCGAAACTTCCCGTTGCCCGTTTGACAACTTCTCATATATAAATCTTTACCTCCAGACCCTTTCGGAGCTCCTCGTGACGTCCGGGATCCCATCCGGGAATCCTAACAACATTCGGTAGTCACATACTAGTCTTCCTAATAACCCTAGCGTCACCGAACCTTAAGTGTGTAGACCCTACGGGTTCGGGAGACATGCAGACATGACCGAGACGCTCTCAGGTCAATAACCAACAGCGGGATCTGGATACCCATGATGGCTCCCACATGCTCCTCGATGTTGTCATCGGATGAACCACGATGTCGAGGATTCGATCAAACCCTGTATCCAATTCCCTTTGTCAATCGGTACGTTACTTACCCGAGACTCGATCGTCGGTATCCCAATACCTTGTTCAGTCTCGTTACCGGCAAGTCACTTTACTCGTACCGTAATGCATGATCCCGTGTCCAACACCTTGGTCACATTGAGCTCATTATGATGATGCATTACAGAGTGGGCCCAGAGATACCTCTTCGTCATACGGAGTGACAAATCCCAGTCTCGATCCGTGTCAACCCAACAGCTACTTTCGGAGATACCTGTAATGCACCTTTATAGTCACCCAGTTACGTTGTGACGTTTGATACACCCAAGGCACTCCTACGGTATCCGGGAGTTACACGATCTCATGGTCTAAGGAAGAGATACTTGACATTGGCAAAGCTCTAGCAAACGAACTAAACGACCTTTGTGCTATGCTTAGGATTGGGTCTTGTCCATCACATCATTCTCCTAATGATGTGATCCCGTTATCAACGACATCCAATGTCCATAGCCAGGAAATCATGACTATCTGTTGATCACAACGAGCTAGTCAACTAGAGGCTCACTAGGGACATATTGAGGTCTAAGTATTCACACGTGTATTACGATTTCCGGATAATACAGTTATAGCATGAATAAAAGACATTTATCATGAACATTGAAATATAATAATACTTTTATTATTGCCTCTAGGGCATATTTCCAACAGTTTTATATATAGGACGATAGTATTCGGACACGGAAAGTGTTCCGGAGGGTGTCGGGTACACATCGGGTCATTGGAAGGGGTTCCGGGCATCCCGGGCAAAAGATATGATCCTAATGGGCCAAGAGGGAAAACGGAGCAGCCAGTAGGGGCTGTTGCGCCCCCCATATGGGCCGCACTAGAGGAGAAGGAAAGAGGGGAAGAGAGAAGGAAGGGGAGGGATTCGGCCTCCCCCTTCCTTCCCTCCTCCTTCCTCCTTCCTTTCCCCTCCGAAAACATGGTAAGGGGGGCGAATTGGACTAGGCCCCCAAGTAGGATTCCTCCTACTTGGGGTGCCCCAAGGTTGTCCCCCTCCCCCTTCCCCTCCCACCTATATATACGTGTGGAGGGGACGCCTAGAACACACAACAACATCGGTTAGCCATGTGCGGCGCCCCCTCCATAGATTACACCCTCGGTCATATTCTCGGCGGTGCTTAGGCGAAGCCCTGCGCGGATCACTTCACCATCACCGTCACCACGTCGTCGTGCTGACGGAACTCATCTATTTCCTCGACACTTTGTTGAATCAAGAGTTCAAGGGATGTCATTGAGCTGAACGTGTACAGAACTCGGAGGTGTCGTACGTTCGGTGCTTGATCGGTCAGAACGAGAAGAAGTTCGACTACATCAACCGCGTTGTCAAACGATTCCGCTTTCGGTCTACGAGGGTACGTAGACACACTCTCCCCCTCTCATTGCTATGCATCTCCTAGATAGATCTTGCGTGAGCGTAACAAAACTTTTGAAATTGCATACTACGTTTACCAACAAATATAACAACATGGAACAAACAAAAATTATAGATACATTGGAGACGTATCTGAATACCAGCACTAACATGGAAAATTTTCAAAGAAGTAAGGTAGAATGTGGACTTCACCTGCCTCCTCTTAAAGTGCAAACCAGTAAACTTATCCATCCATAATTAACTCAGGAAATTGCCTAAAATATGGTTTTTAGATTGTTGAAAAATTAGGCAAGTTAATGAGTAATTCCAACAAATAATTCATGACTAAAACAGGAAGTAGCATGCATGTATCAAACATCCTAGACATACCAACATGAACATCATCATCGAACATGCAACATCAACCACAGTAAGACATTGGATCAGATTAGGCGCACATACTGACCGTTTGAAGGTGCCTCCGTTGCTGCTCGTACGATGTTGACGATGTTAGTGATGACTTGATGCAAATGGCGTTGAAGACGATGATGAGTAGCGCCGCCTGACTTGGAAGGAAGACATCCCATGGTGATAGACGATGAGCAGTCGTGCAAAGCGCTTGCCAAAAACCTTATTCACCTTCACCTGGTGCAGGATCACAAGAGCGAGAGATTTCAGAGACCTGCTCTCCTGCTCGCCATTGCACGCCGGCGTTCGGGATGGAGTAGACTACAACAGCAACGCAAGTGGAGAGAGGAGACAAAACCCTAGCTCGATTTTTGGTGTGTCCTTGGCCGTAGCCGGTAAGCGCTATATATAGTAGGACATAGTGGTCCGGGCGATGTACTGCGAGCACACCATCAAGATGTTCAAAGACGGTCGTTTTGCAGGGGCTTCAATATTTTTCTTGCGAGACTCGGGGACTTCAATATAGTTGTCTTTTTAATCTGTGTGTGTTGCTGGTTTGGTCATTTATTTTATGGAAAAGTCATATATTGTACTCCCTCTGTAAACAAATATAAAAAATTAATGATCTAAACGCTCTTATATTTTTTTATGAAGGGAGTAGTCAATTAAAAAATGAGTTAAAAGATTATAACTGAAAGCCCAAGCTCTGCGGAATTCCCCATTAATGGAGTCGCAACAGGCAGACGGTACATGTCAGGTACACCGACAGAGGCGACCACTGATCTGGTAGAACGTCGCATGCGCCGTCAGGTGCACGGCCGCGCTCCCCACCGGCACCGTGAGCGAAGGCTGATCCCAGATCTCGGGAGGCGACGTGCAGGTAGAGGGGTTCCGTCCATGGGGCAAAAGCCAAGCGTTCAATTCTGCGATATCAAACGCCGGCACACAGGAACTACAGAGACTGGATTAGACTCCACTGTGACACACCAACCATTTCGAAAGGAAAAGAAAACTGCGACACACCATGGACAGCAAACAGCTAGGTCGGCGTGTTCCGACACTCGTTTGCCTTAAACAAATTACACCCCGGGCAGCCGCTGCGCGCGTACGCGGACCCAACCACTCGCCGATGGACGACACCCGTTCTCACTTTTCAGCGAACCAGAAGCTCGTGACTCTCCACTTGGCTGCGGCAAAACACACCGGACGAAGCAAAGGATCAACAGTTTAGAACAGGGGAGCATATGCAGGTTCGGTCATCTTTTCGCATCGCAAAGGAAGATAGATGCATGTGGAGCAAAGTAGCGCACAAAAAGAAGATGCATGTGGAGCAAAGTGGTGCTACCGTGTCACCCATAAGAAATTTAGAAAAGGAAAAGGTTTTGATATAGAAGAGATAAGGGTCTGTTTAGGACACATCTAGATGTGACATAGTTATATCACATCTAAGTTTGATGTCCACTCTGTTTATGGTCTATTTTTTTATCTTAGTTTTTTTTGTTTCTTGTTGCTACATTATATATTTATGGGAGATTAGATGTGACATCCTTAAAAAACATTTAGATGTGAATTAGACAAACTGAAGAAACAATGGAGAGGCTGTGGGCAGGCAGGCAGGCAGGCGCACCGCACACATGGGCGGAGGAGGCCGACAGATCGCAACGTAGCGCCGGGAAGGGGAGCTGCGTGCTGTCCCAGGCTGGTATCCCGTTGCCGTCGCCACGTTCCCTCGCTTTCACCCACCTAAGTGCCCAGCCACCACTCTACTTACCTCGCCCGGCACACGCAAACGCGCGCCTCCATCGGCCTGCCACTCGCAGTCGCTTCCCTTTCCCACCACGTTGACACCTCTTCCGCTCCGGGAAGGAGGCAGGCACGTAGACGTAGCGATGGCGCCGCGTTTCCTGGCGTGCTTCGGCAGGGGCGGCGCGACGGCCTCGGCGCCGGAGCCTGTGGAGGACCTGGCCCCGGGCCCGGTGCTGGTGGAGCTCTTCTCCTCGCAGGGGTGCGCGGCGTCGCCTGAGGCGGACGCCCTGGTGGCGCGGCTGGCGCAGGAGTCCTCCGAGACCGGCGGCGGCGAGCGAGCGATGGTGGTGCTGGGGTTCCACGTGGACTACTGGGACTACCGCGGGTGGAAGGACCCCTTCGCGGCCAGCGCCTGGACCGTGCGGCAGAAGGCGTACGTGGAGGCGCTCCGGCTGGACACGCTCTTCACGCCGCAGGTCGTCGTGCAGGGCCGCGCGGACTGCGTCGGCACCGAGCAGGACAAGCTCGCCCAGGCCGTCCGCGACGCGCCCCGCTACCCCTCGCCCGCCATGAAGGTACGCACGCACGCATGCTGCATGCACCCACCACCTTAAGAATTGTTGACGGTGCTCTGAACCGTGTGCGTGCTCTGCAGGTGAAGTTCCAGCGGCCGAACCCGAGCACGCTGCAGGCGTCCTTCACGGGCGCGCTCCACTCCCGCGTGGACGGCGGCGGGAGCGTGCTGGTGGCGCTGTACGAGAGCGGCGTGGTCACCGACTGCGGCCGCGGCGAGAACAAGGGCAAGTCGCTGCTCAACGACCACGTGGTGCGCCGGCTGGAGAAGGTGGCCGCCGTGCGCGACGGCGCGTCCGCCAGGAAGGCCGTGTCCGGGTCCGTCCAGTTCCCGCTGTGGGACGACTTCCGCGCCACCAAGTGCGGCCTCGTCCTCTTCGTGCAGAACTCGGCGCTGCAGGTGCTCGGCGTCCAGCACTTCGACCTGCCCGACAACGTCTGATCGAGTGGCGGGCACCAACTTGCGGAGAGCGCAGGGGCCAGACGACCAGGGGAGCGTTGCACAAGTATTCTTTGTAGAGTTTGATTTGATTGGCGTGCTGCGTTGTTGTAATAGCACTTTGTAAGAGCACTCGTGTGATCGATTACTGGAACAATGGTTGTATCTTCTTGAATAGACCAAGATAGTACAGTAGTCTATGGAACATGCACAAATGCGAATAACAGAGAAATCGAAGTTACACTAAGGTGCCTCTGAGAACCTAAAATCATTAAATGTACCCAAATGATAACGCCCACGCGGGTGTCATATTTGCACATCGCAATTGAAAGAAACCACCATATTTGGGGCTTCTCTTGCAAAAAATAACCTGATCGCTAATCTTTTGCAAAAGCCATCGCGCATCAATAAAAGTTTTGTAGATTGCACCGAACCTGCCATTTGGCGCGGTTGAGGGCGTTTACAACACGTGGGCCCAATTTGGGTGACGTGTCCTAATGGACGCGCGGACGGCGTCGTTTGGTCCAAACCGACGCGGTCTGGTCGCGCCGGACAGACCGACCGCCCGCACCCGACCAGACCAGGCCTCTCCCTCCAGCTCCAATCCATGGCGACGACGAAACCTGGCGGCGTGGACGGCGGCGGCGGAGTTGCTGCCGGTGGGGATGCTCCGGGCGGCGGTGCTGGAGATCCACCAGAGTTCTGCGGGAGCTCCAATCCCTCGAGCGCGCTGCCTCTTCCCCAACCGTCGTCGCCGCCGAAGTCGTTGGAATACGCGGCGGCTACTGCGTTCGCCCAGACGGTGAAGGCCAATCCGACGGGCAGCCAACATTTTGCCTCCTCCTTCGGCGATGTGGAGTAAGTCATCCTCCTCCTTCTTTGTCATTTCCCCGATTGGCATTCTAGGGTTAGGGTTCTAGGGTTAGTTAGTGTTCTTGGGTAAGTGTAGTACGGTTAAGGTTCTAGGGTTAGGGTTCTAGCATTAGGGTTAGTGTTATATGATATCCTCTCTGTCACATGATTGGTGGTCTCACAGAAATTAATTTTAGCATGAGTAATTTGACAGAAATCCTATCTGTCTGTTGTTTGATCAAATATTGGTCTTCACCAACTTTAGTATTGTAAATTGAATTAGAAATTTCTGTTGCCACCAATTTTAACATTGTTAACTGATTTTTTTCAACTTATTAATAGGGCTATGAACTGACCCATTTAACACCAATCTGACCTCTTAACAATAATTTTAACATTGTTAAATGAATTATTTCATCTTATTCTTATACCTGTTAACTGACCTACTTAACAACAAAATTAAATGAATTTTATCTGAATTTGTAGCTTGGATGATGAAGAATGGGAAGTGAGGTTCCATTTCCTAGACAGAGATAACTTGGAAAGAACAATATGTTTATCAAACATAACCTTCTGGAATCTCATTGCCCTAATAGAGGTAGAAGGCTATAGTTCAAGGGATTTTATGTATTATGTTAGAGATCCAGGAGTTGGGGTGTCAGGAATGGAAGAATTAACTGATGATGACAAGGTGGAAGAAATGTTGGATCACATAGCTAGTAAAGGAAAGAATGTTGTTAGCATTATAGTTATGAGAAGTGATGCACCTAGACCAGTTGATTTGAACATTGGTTATGCTTATGAAGAGCAGGTTTCTTTGTTAGAAATAGGTGTACCAGTTGTCTATGAGGTAGACAATTCAGGAGTTCTTTTCGCCAGTCCAGTCAAACCCCAACCACAGCCAGTCCAAGTAATGAACACACAGGAGAGCACTTGTTTGTTGAAGCAAAAGGGCCCAAGTGAACCTGAGTTTGCTTTGGACAATAGTAATGAGAGGCATGAGTATTTCATGCAGACAGACCAAGAGCAAGAGCACATTGAGCAGATGATGGAGCAGAAAAGAAATGAAGAAATTCAGAGGTACGGGAGTAATAAGATACAAAGAGAGAAGTACAATGCAGCAAAAAGAAAACTCCCACAGCTGCTTGCTAAGGAGTTCACTGATAGTGAAAGTGAGGATGAAGATCTAGAAGATGAGGACATATTGGCTAGGTTGGAGGCAATGAAGAGGCATAGGGATGATCCACTATATCACTTTGAAGGAGACACTGATGTAGAAGAGCTATATGGACCAGAGGAGGAGGAGGAGGAGAATGAAGGAAGAGTTGAAGAGGAAGGACAGGAGGAGCCACTAGATGAGGGCTTGAGAGGAGGAAGCAGTGTAGGAGGAAGCAGTGCAGGAGGTAGCAATGGCACAGGAGGAAGTAAGAGGAGGGTGAAGGGGCCAACAACAAGATCCCATGCAAGTTTGGATCAAATCATAGAGCAAGACTGGGCACCTTCATTTGATGAGGAGAGCAACCCAGGTGACCTAAGTCAGGAAGAGAATGATTGGGCTCAGCTTCCACCATTTAAGCTACCAAATGGTAGGAAGAGCATAGCCAAAAAGAATAAAGTTAGGGTTTGGTATGATGAGAAGAGGGAAAACCCACAAGAACAATTTGTCAAGAAACTTTGTTTCCTAGATGTGCAACAGTTCAGAAGGGCACTGCTTACATTTCACATCTCACAAAACAGGAACTACTCATTTCATAGGAATTGCTCAGATAGAGTTATCGTAGTTTGCAGTACAGATGACTGTCCTTTTTTCATTGCTGCTTCCAAAATTGCACATGAGAAGACATTTTGCATAAAGAAAATGAACTTGTACCACAATTGTCCTGCTGTTGGAGAGAGCACCAAAGTGACTGCTAGGTGGTTGGCACATGAGTGTGAGCAACAGTTAAGGTCTGACATAAACACACCTGTCCAGGCAATAATGGACAATTTGAAGAAAAACATGGAATTGAAGTGTCCATTCACATGGCCTACAGGGCAAGGAAAGCAGCTAAGGAAGTTGTCCAGGGAGATCAGAGGGCACAATACACTAGGATAAGGGATTACCTCCAAGCTATGCTGGATACCAATCCTGGAAGTAGATGCATTGTTACAACAAAGTATTTGAAGACTCATCCTAGTATAAACCCTAGATTTCATGGCTTGTTCATGTGCCTCAATGCTTGCAAAGAGGGCTTCCTAAATGGTTGCAGACCCTTCATAGGTACTTGCATAATTATTTTCCCAACATCTTTCCCATTGCATTTAGTTATGTTTGGTACTAATGTGTTCTGTTTGGTTTTAGGTGTTGATGGTTGCTTTGTTAAGTTGACAACAGGGCAACAAATATTGGCTGCAACTGGAAGAGATGGTAATAACAACATCTTTCCCATTGCATTTGCAATTGTTGACAAGGAAGACACTGCTAGCTGGTCCTGGTTTCTAACCCAGCTCAAGTATGCTCTTGGTGGTGAGTCAGGGAAGTATGGCAACTACACTATCATATCTGATAGACAAAAGGTACCTCACACATCATCATTCTTATATTTACTGAAGTTTTACCATGCTTAGTACTATCAAATTGTTTGTTGTTATACTATATTTTGAACACTAGTTATTTAAACAGGGCCTTCTTAAAGCCATAAACAATGTCTTCCCAAATTTCCCTCAAAGATACTGCCTTAGACATATTTATCAGAACTTTCAAACAGCTGGCTTTAGAGGTGAAGAGTTAAAGAAGTATATGGATCAGGCTAGTTATTCATATACTGAGCATGGTTTTGATCAAGCAATGGAAGGCATGAAAAGAGAGTGTGAGGCAGCTTGGAAATGGCTTAGAAAGATACCCAAGCATACATGGGCTAGACATGCCATGGACAAAAATTGTAAAACTAATTTGGTTGTTAACAATATTAGTGAAGTTTTCAACAAAATGATACTTGATGTGAGAGGGAAACCAATTAAAACCATGGTTGATGGCATCAGAACTAAATTGCTAGTTAAGTTCAATGCAAACAGGACCAAGACTGAGACAGCCAAGTGGCAGATATGCCCAACATATGCTGAAAAGCTAGAAGAAGCAAAACACCATGCTAGATATTGTCAGTCCATCAAAGCATGACCTGATCTATACCAGGTTAGCAGTGGATAAAGCACATATGCAGTAAAGCTGCAAGTGCACACATGTGGGTGTAGCAAATGGGACATGACTGGTGTTCCTTGCAAGCATGGTGTTTCTGCAATTAACAAGGCAAAACTTCATCCAGAAGATTTTGTTAGTGATTTCTTCAAGAAACCAATGTACCAAGAAGCCTACATTCCAATTATGTATCCTGTGCCTGGGCCTGACCTATGGCCAAATACTGGGACCCCTGACATAGAACCACCGGTTTTGAGAGACAAGCCAGGAAAGAAGCAGACTAAGAGGAGAAGGAATCAGTTTGAGAAGCCAGCTCCCAAGGATACATTAAGGATGGCAACAATAACCTGCAGCAATTGCAACTTGACAGGTCATAGGTACACTAGCTACCACAAAAATCTGAAGCCAGCCCTAGCCATGAGAAGGAACCAACACCAGGTTAAATCTTGTGTATATATGTTGTCACTTCATGTTAAATCTTGTGTATATTTAATACTATGTTCTAATCTATCTATATGTTGTCACTGTAGGAAAACAGGAGAGTTGATGCACCAATGGCAGCTCCATCTGCTCCACCAGCAGCAACGGCAAGAGCTCCTGCTGCAACCAGTGCAACACCAAGGACATCTCCAGCTGCAACTAGGGTTGCAACTAGGGCTGCACCTAGGGCGGCTCCTTCTGCTCCTGCTCCAACAAGGCCAAGTTCATCTTCTGCTGCTGTTGATAGGCCTAGTTCATCTTCTGCTACTGCTACTAGGTCAAGGGTAAAGAGAACATTCATACCACCAAGAGTGTCAGGTACTGGAAGAGTGAGAAAGCCATCATACAAGATGTCTAAATGGTTCAATTGTTCTCAAGGCAGCAAGAAGTGATGTCATGTTGAAATATGTTTAATTCAGCCTGTTTTGGCTAGTTTGTGCTGAAGAATATTAAGAATTTCATGTTGAAACCAGTCAGTTCTAGTCCAAGTGGTGGA